AGTGTCTTTTCTTGTAAATCTTTTTTTCATGTGCATATTAATGATCCTTCTTTTTCAGTTTTTGGACCTTGTAATGATTTGGAAAGCTGAAGTGTCTGTTAAGATGCAAGTTTTCGCTTGGACTGATGATAAGATTTATACTTATGATTTGTTGCAAAGGAGAAGACCGACTGCTTGTCTTTTCCCCCATTGTTGTGTAATCTGTAGAAAAAGTTGCGAAAGTGTGGATCAACTCTTTATCCATTGTCCAATGGTGTTGAATTTGTGATATAAAGCAACTGGATAGTTTAGTTTGAGCTGAATTTTTCCAAGAGATTGTGTATCTTGTTCCAGACTAATCATGATGTTTTGGGGAAGGAATGTAGAGCTTTTATCTTGGGGAATGTGTGGTTATGAAAAAAATTTGGGTGGTATGGATGGAAGGGCATAGAAGAATCTTTGATGATAAGGAAGAACACATGGTGTTTCTATAGGACCAATCAAAGTTTTTGGCTTGGACGGTAGCTACTAAAGAGTTTGAGCAATGTTACTAAAACGTGCCAAGGCAATCGCCTAAGTGAGGAGCGAGCTTAGGCGAATCCACATTGCCTGGAGTGTCCCAAGCAAAGTGAGCTTTGTTGAAGCAAAGATTAAGCGTCCAAGGCAAACGCTTAGCGAAAAAGCGAACGCATTAGTAAAATTTTTATTTAGATTTTTGGATCTATTATGGACTGTTACATTTGATCAATGGGATCAAAATTTGGACATGCCATAGCAGTTGATTACCATTTGATCCATATATACGTCTAACCCTAAAATTTCTACAAAAAAATTGATTGAGAATGAAGGATCACGAGGGTTGAAGTCACGACCTAAGGACCTGATTCACCTAGGTTTTTTCTTGTTCCCATACTTCTTCTCCTCCTCCTCCCATTCTTCTTCTTCTTCTTCTTTATAAATGATTTATTGCAACTTTTAGAAAAAAGATCTATGACCTTGAGGCTGGAACTCACTAGACCAACCTATTCTTTTTTCTTCTCTTCCAAAAAAAAATTTACTACAGAGAACAACTGTGTGTATACTTCTTATCCTCTTCTACTTCTTTTTCTTCTCCTCCTCTTCTTCTGCTTCTAAGATGGAGATGAAGCTCTGCTTTTGGTCACTCAATAATTCACTGTTGGTGAAGCATTATTTTTGCTTAAGGTGTTTGCTTGTCTTTTGATATTTGATTTTGGTTCTTTTGCTTCAAATGTAAGGATTTGGCATTTTTTTAAAAATTTAAATGTTAATGTTTTGGTTGACGTTAAGATTTGAAATATTCTTTATGCTTCTTTCAATTTAAATGTCTATGCTTTGAGTTGCATTTGAATATTTAATACTTAAGAAGTTAGAAATTGATACTTAGTAATAACTAAACAAAAATATTTGCTTGGTTTTGATATTGTTCGCCTTGCTTCAATGAAGCTTTCCCTTCGCTTCTCGCCCGACGCCTAGGCCTCTGGAGATCTGAATGCTTTGACTCACTTTACGCCTTAAATAATATTTAGTTTGAGCATGTGCCATTTATTCCATTCATATTGATTGGATTACGACATATAGTTAGATAATATTTCTATCCTTTTGTCCCCGTTTGGGTGGATTCTTGTCCATTATATTGTGATCTATCACTTTTTACTAAAAAATATGTTTCTTATCAAAAAACACATTCACTTGGAATAACCCAACCTAAACTAAACTCACTATAAAGTCTATATCACAGTTTTAAGGCCACTTGACAATGGAGGAATATATAATCCACACTTTCACTACAACTTTTACACAGTTACACCTTTGAGAAGAAAGACAAGAACTTGGTTTTCACCTTTACAATAAATCGCAAGTATGAAGCTTTCCAATAGCTACAGTCCAAGCCAAAACTTGAACTTTAAGAGGCACTTTTGCCTTCCAAATCATCTCATGAAGTTTAAAAATTGGGGAAGACTGATCATCAATAAAGATATAGAAGTAGGACTCGCAAGAAAAGACACTATAACAATCAAGGGTCCACACTTTTCCATCCCCACCCTTAACATAAAGGAAATCAAGTCTAGTAAAGACAATAAAGAGGAAATTTCAAAACTTCCCTATCTTCGAGGCTCTGAAGAAACGAAAGTTCAACCCTCGGAGATGAAGAAGTACAATACATACTACCAATGGAAGTATCTCAAGACTGAAACAACCAAAAAAGTGGGGAAAAGAAAAAGCAAAAGTGCAATCACCCACTTATATATCTTTTTAAAACGAAATTCTCTCACCATTCCCATCACCTAATCTAACTTACCCCATGAAACCATTTACACAGCGAAAACAACCCCTAACCCCCACCTCAAGTCCCAACGTCTGGAATAAAGTCCATATTTGCTTTTGAAAACATGATGCCACAAAAACAACTTATTCAATTGGAAACCTCCATAAACCTTTACATAATAAAGCAATGTTTCTCTTCAAATATTTTCCACCCTCAAGTCCCCCCTTGAGTTTAGATCTAGAAACCACCTCCCACCTTAACAAGGTAATCCTTACCCTTCCCCACTTCCTTCCCACAAAAAATCTTTCATCAATTTCTCAATTCTAAAAGCAATAACCTAAGAAACTTAAAAAAGGACACAAAAAAAGGGTGTCAAAACCAATTGTACGAAAGTGAGTCCCCTTCATAGATAAGCCCTTTTCTAGCCCATCTAATTTCTTTCACACCCTCTATTGTTTACAAAAACACAGTGATAAAGGATTCCCCCCTCCAAGGTCTTCGAGGGCACCACCCCAAACTCAAAACCTACCCTACCCAATCCCTATCTAACTTCTCTTCTTAAATATTTATTCCAACCATTAGACTCTCAGACATATTACCTTTCAACCTTGACATCAAGCCAAAAGTCTTAATACTACCAAATTTTGAATTTTGAACTTTTTTGAAATTTTGAACTTTCACCTCATCCTGTACAATAAAAAAAAAAGAGAATCATCACCAAATTGTAGATGTTAGACCTCCACACGATCCCTTCTCACCCGAAAACCCTTTAAAAGTTTAAACTTCCTGACCCCATCTAGTAACTGATTAAGCCCATCCGTAACTAACGCAAAAGAAGCGATGACAACAGATCCCCCAACTTAAGACCTAGTACATTGAAAACTCCATTAGCCCTAGACACCCTTTAATCCATCTCCTCCATCCACTTCTAAATTCCTTATTTTCTAAAACAAAATCCAAAAAGTCTCAATAATATCATATGTTTTTCAAGTAACACAATGTGAGTGATTCCCCTCCCTCTAACCAAGGAACCTTGGTATTTAGAAATAGAATCCCCCAAAACCTCTCTAAACTTTCACAAGACAACCTTTGTCAAAATCTTGTGAAGACTAATCACTAAACTAATTGACCTGAACTCACTTTCTTTCCAAGTATTATGTTTTTTTGAGATAGGGAGCGATCTCCATGAGGAATGAACCACAATCCAAAGGGAAAGGGAAGAGTGATCGATCCACCAGCGGCTAATATGCAAGCGAGACTGTCAGTGAACCAACTAAATCAATCTTTTTTCGCTTTACACTCCAGTTCTTGATTCATTTTTAGCCCTTTCTAGCCACATGTGATAGCTCTGTTGCGGCCGGTGCTTGTTTGCGCGCGTGTGAACCAACCCAACAAACAAAGAAAGGATAAGAAATGTATGTTGCATTAACATTTACATTTGACACACCACTAATAAAGAACTCCACAAACACGTTCATCAAATTAACCTTGATAATCTACCAACACTATTACAATCCCGCCATGGAAAAACCATCTGATCCCTACCACTTTTCCCTATTACACTAAAAAATAGCCAATTCCACCTTGTTTTCTTCAAACGACCTCTCTAGTCAACATGCTCTCTCATCACTAATAGGACTCCAATCTAATCTCATAACTGTCGGCCTCACAAGATCATCATCTGAATATAACAACTTAACAAAAAAAAAGGAATCTCTTCTTCAATCCATCCTTCATCCTCTAAAACTATTCTATCTCCAACGTCCAACTATGTAACGAGATACTTCTTCCTTCTCCCATTTGCTACTTTATAGAACAACTTCGAGTTATTATCCACATCTTACATCTCAAATCTATTTTGGAGATCCTTTCCTTCCTCAACTCCGAAATATCTTATTACCATGGACTAGGCTGATCATATTAACATATCCAATAAAAGTTTTGAAAACTTAAAACTGCATGTTTACAATACCCATACAAAACCTCATTAAACTTCCCATTTTTACTGCCTTCACCTTTTGTTTAGTTCTTTATTCTTTTTATGGTTTGAGGCTACCGCTCGTTTTTGAAACAAAATTTTGACCTCTTTTGAGAATGTCGATAAGTTAAGCAATACTAAAAGAGGATCAAATTTAAGCTTTTCATAAGCTTAAATTACCTCAATTTCAATAAATCCAACTCTTCCAAACCAGATGCAAAAAATCTCCAAAGAATCAAACAATGAAAAACTAACCATTCTAAAAAGTCAAATGATTTCATGCTTGGGTTATCCAAGCATTGATTTTTGGAAAGAATCGAGGACAAATATATGCAGAAAATTTCCAGTAACGCTGCACAATGATACACCATGTATCTAAGAGCAACCACTCATTCTAATGGTACGAGAAAGTTCTAATTCCTTAACTAGGAATGCACAGGTAGACCACCAATCCAAACAAACACAAGACACCTTGTGTGTCTACACGTTGACATACATGTCACATATTCTGACCTAGCCAAAACTAAAAACAACTACATCAACATAGTTAAAACTTTGTATGACCAATAAAATAGTTTAATTCATTGCATTATGCCATGGACTTGTGCTAACCGAAAGTCCGAAACAAAAGCAGCCCACATGTATACCACTGACAATTTAAATAACAATTTTCATGCAAGTACAAAATATAAACCAAAAAAACATATCGGAAGTCAGCAACAAGAAAGCATTATTTAATTGCAAAAGGAAAAATACCTCAGCCAAGCTCTTTGGCATTGGCTTCCCTTCTCCTTTCAACTTCTCGATTTTCTTTTGAGCTTCTTTAGCCCATGTAAATTTTGCCAAGGAATTCTCAACGTCAGCTATTGTGCAATTACAATGCTTTGCTGCTTCTTGCTTCTGAGTAGTTTGGAGATTCTACGTCAACAAGAAACCCAAATCAGATCAAGTGAACCCAGGAAACAATTTGAAAGAAAAACTTTCGTCTGCTAAAACTCACTGACAATATGCTCAATGAAATTATCAAGCAAAGCTCCTATGTCCTAAGTTTCAAGGTGACAAAGTGAGTAAACATTTGGCTTTAGAACAAAATGAAATATGGGAGTTATTCGTGAAAGTATCATAAAATAACTTAATATGAACAAGGTAGGTAAAACTTCAGCAGCAAAACAAATAGTTCAGCCAACAATCCTCATGGGTTGTTTATTAATTATGATCATCAAGCACTTTGGAGTTGCACAGTTAATTAAGCACACTTAAGACCCAAACCAAGGTTCAACTAAAAGTAGAAAAAATAGCAATGCACACCAATTAAAGAAGGATAAGTCTTCAATTGACGATAATTCAGAAGGATTCAATTAAGCATCGAACGCATTCTGGATAATTGGTAGTGATTTCAAAATAATAGAAAAAGCGAAAACGATTTTGGGTTCTGCTAGTGTGTCATCAATAGAGTACAAGTACATGTTTAGTCACACACACTTGTTGCAAAAGAATTAGAAAACTAACCTCTCCAGTAGGATCAAAACCTCCAAGATACCTAATAATGGCCTCCTGCTTCTCAAAGGCATCGGCAAATGTCGCTTCACTGCTTCGGCCCACAATGTACTGCTTAAAAGTCCCTACCTTTCTTGCTTTGCTCAACTCATCAGCAAACCCTTTCAAAATAACCACCCAAAAAAACATACAAATTATGAGCAAATACACACACGTAGTTATATATATATATATATATGGAATGGTGAGCTAAAATGAAGGGGAGGTGAGATGGGGACTTACGGAGGAGGGTGAAGGACTCAGAGGAAGTGGTGGATTCAGGAGTGGCGGCCTTTTGGCCGGTGATGACACCTTTGATCTTGTCCATCCACGAGCCATTAAGTTGGGTTGTCGTGAAAATCCAACGGTGCTGTGATAGAGTTGGACCGCGGTGACCGTGACTTAATACGGAGGATGAAGAAAAGAACAAGAGTCTTCGAGGAGACATTACATTTGTACGTCTGCTAAGATGGAAAGAGGTTTCGAATGATTCTCACTCGGAATTGCAGGGGGTTTAAGGTTTTCCTGTACTCAACGGTGAACGACGTAGTTTTTCCGACAAAGGAGCTGTATAAACCTGTTTAGCGACACGTCTTTACCCCCAAAATAATGTAAAATTTTTGCCCCCATACATTTCACCCACCCACGTGCATTTGGCTTAATTAACCGTTTGCTAAGAATGAAAAAGATATGCACTTTCCATCCTTAAAAGAAATTAAGTATAAATAATATACTTTTATTTTTTCATATTTGATTGAATGGAGGAAAAATAAAAATCATTAATTTTTTTTTGTGCTAACTAAAATTAAGGGTAACAATTAAATCGTGTCATATTAGATTCGTGTTGAGTCATTACGGATTTATATCAAATATTAGTCAAATTTAACTCAACTCATTTAACTAATTGTGTCGTGTCGAGTTGAGAGTTGACCTGTTTATTTTCATGACGTCTTCGTGTTTGTATTCGTGTTGATCTATTTTTAATTAAAAAATAAATCTAGATTTTTAATTAAAATGAAAAAAATATTTTTTTTAATTTAAAATTTAAAATTTTATTTTTTAAAATTTATTTTAAATTTTTAAAAATATATATATATAAATACATATTTTATCATTGTATTTTTATATGAAATTAATGTATACATAATATATGTATATATCAAAAGACATATAGACAAATGAGATACATCTCAACACAAATAATTAATTTTTCATCTGCTTTCATTCTGATTTTTGGAGGGATTGATTTTGGCTAGTCGGAAGGAAAGTTAACCCATTCACTTTTCCATCCTTCATATTTTCTTTCCTTACCAAACTTGATGTTTTATTTATCCTCAAATTTTTCATCCTTTCAATTTTTCGTTCTTCTATTTTTTCATCATACCAACCGAAGCATAAGACTCGACTGTGGTGTCATGCACTACTCAAAATTTATAATATCTCTTCATCGTCACTGTTATCTCTACTCTTATCTCGTCGTTACCCGTTCCTCGTCTCATCTTAATATTATTAGAAAATAATATATTAATGTGTTAAATTTATATATTAAATGTAAAATAATTAAGAAAGATGATGAAAAAATTTAAATTTAAAACAATTTAAAAAGTTATGGTAATTAAAACGAGATAAAATAGAGTCACAAACGTAGTGTATATCTATATAGAAATTTAGGAGCAATTTGAGTAAATATGACTCAAAATAACTGAAATAAGTTAACTACGTGGCCAAAGAATATTATTTTACCTTTAGTTCTTCTTTGGCTGATCTTCCTTTCCTTAAATTTTTGAAGTTTACTTCCATGGCCTGTGAGTAGTTTTCTTTGTACTCTCTAGTTAGGGTAGGGTTCTTAGATTATGTATTTAATGTTATTATTCGTTTATTGTTCTTGAATGATTTATCATTTTTATTATCCGATTAAATGAATATTTCTAATCAAAGTAATATAATCTATATACTTGTTTGTTTATTCAGCAACTGAATAATTCTTATAATTCCATGCGAGTTTATATTGCTAGTTCCTAAATTCATATTTTCATATTAATCAAATCTTTGTTTAATAGTTATATCCTCTAGTTGATTACATTAACGTTAGAAGTCAACTGAGATAACGAATAATTGCATTAGTATTATATTCAATACACATGACTAGTTCATGATCCCGGTACTAAAGAGTCTCTTTTCATACATAAGAATTTCTTTACAATTAGTTACAATTGCTCATTCTACAATCAAGATAAATTGTTCCTTCTTTTCACTTTTCCTTATATCTAATTCATTTCCCTAAGGATCGACCTTAGTCTTACCGAGTTATTCTATTTCTTGACCACCTGCACTTGGGTGTACCTATTTGGAGTCAACAAGTTTTCGGTGCAGTTGCCGGGGTGTTGAAAGGATACGGAAGCCGAGAAGAGGAATCCACAATCACAACGAGCTATTTGGAGAACTTGATTTTCTGTGTAACCTCGTTTCGTCTTTTAGATTCCCATTTAAATAATGTGTTAGTTTTTAATTCTATTTGATTTTTGTTATTTAATTTTTAATTGTTAGTTTAGTTTAATTTCCAATCATTTAGTTCTTAGTTGTATGTCTAGTGTGGAAACTTTAGATTTTGATATTGAATCATCATTTAAAGAATCTGTAGGATCTAGTTGAACATGCAATAATATGAGAGATAACACGAACTATCCTAATTGTGTTCAAGAGGTTAACCAACAGGTCAGAATTCCTTGGGATTACCTGCACCTCACAAGGAGCAGTGTCCCGTCTTGTTTTGTCTTTCCACAAAATGCACAAAGATTCACGATGGAACTTGGCACTATCCAATTTTTGCCACAATTTCATGGCCTCGATTCCAAAAATTCTTATCTTCACATGAAGGAATTTGAGGAGGTATGCGGGACCTTCCAGGATAATTTTGAGTTGGCTAAGCTAAAGTTTTTCCCCTTTTCACTGAAGGATAAAACTAAGTAATAGCTCAATTCTAAAACCACACTCTATCCCGGATTGGTCTGCACTACAAAAAGAGTTTTTTAAAACGTTATTCCTTATTCACCGTACAAATGCTTTAAAACGCCACATCATGAATTTTCACGGAGAAGGATGACATTTTATTAGTTTTGGGAGAGATTCAAAGATCTCCTCCACGCATGTCCTCACCATAGGTGTGAAAGTTAGACCCTTATAGGTTTTTTCTACGATTCTTTTCCTACTACTATACGACAGTTTGTCGAGATGATGTCACGGTAGAGTTTATGGACAAAAACCCCAATGAGGCTTTCGAATTTTTTGACACATTATCTGAGAATTTCCAGATGTGGGACTTGGTCTCGCCTGTCTATTCTGAGAATAAATTGACCCCTTCCCATGGGGTAAAGTATTTGTTAAGAGAAGATGATAATTTGAGGGCTAAGATGGCCTCTTTATCTTGAAATCTTGAAGCTTTATAGATGAAGAAAGTCAATAAAGTGTTTGTTGTGCAACCCATGGAACGTACATGTGGGATATGTGCTTTAGTGTGACATCCTACTGAGGAGTGTCCCACGATTCCTAGTTTTTAGGAGGTGTTGTTGGAAAACACCAACGTCGTCTTCTCTTTTCAAAATCCATATAATAACTGTTACTCTGAGACATAATCGAAGGTGGAAACAATACCCTAATTATAGGTGGAGGGGTACATAGCAAACCAAGCCCAACAACAAGAAGCTCCACCACCACAGCAGCTACAACAATAGCCACCATACTAGCCACCTCACAAGCATAGTCTGGAGGATATATTGAACTAATGCATACAAGCTCAAATGCAATACAATAACCAAAACACGTTGGCCTACAGTGAATTCCAAGAATATAGTTGGAATTCTTTACTCTGTTACTAGGGAAATAGTTGAGGATGCATTTGTTCAGGTGGGCAAGTTTTATTTCCTGGTTGACTTCATTGTTTTGGATACCCAACTAGTTGTGCATTCGAGGAGGCAAATTCCCGTTATACTTGGTAGACCTTTGCAACTTCTAATGCTCTAATCAATTGTAGGAATGAGGTCACGACGCTTTCTTTTGGTAATATGACGACAAATTGAATGTTTTTAATGTCGACAAACAACCTAAGGAGGCTTTTGATTTTCATGAAGTAGATATGATTAATTATGTTGGGGATAATCAGTTTAGTATATCTTATTGTCTAGATCCCCTTAAAGCTTGTTTGGTGGATGTTCTAAGCCCTCATACTTCAATAATTTCTCAAATCTTTTCACAGGACTGGGGATTGCAGCAAAAGCTTGTGGCAGTTGAGAGTGTGTTTCTACTTGATAAGGTGAAACGAGTGTTAAAAATTGGTAATGTGAACAATTTGGGTTTGAATTTAACAATTGATTATGACTTTCTTTTGTATTGTATAGTAGTTTTTCTTTTTCTTTTGATTTTATGTAATTTCTTTTGTGTTAAAGTTTCTTTTTAGTGATGGATTTAGTGTTGATTTTGTGGAATGAATTTTCCCCTACCCTAATTATCTTTTATGATCTTTCTTTTTTTTTATTATATATTGAGGACAATGAATGATTTAGGTTGGGGGTGGAATAGTCTGTGATGCAAAATCTTTATTTTTACTAGTTTTGCTTAAATTTTATTTACTTTTACTTAAATTTTAAATTTTTGTAGTGTTTGATTGCATTTTATGTTTTTATTTTAGTTTTGCATTAGGAATTTGTAATGAAAACCCATTTTAAGTGATATATTATGGTTTCATTGTAAAAGTTTTGAGTATTAATCTACCAATTATTTTGAATTATGTGCATATGATAAGACTAATGATTAGATGAATATTAGTAATGAAAATTTGAACTTGTTTATACTTTAGTCTGTTATAGGAACTTTAAACTATTATTTAGTATTATAGATTTTATTCCAAATTGAAACTTAAAAAAATCTATGCACGTACAACCTTACTTGTGTTAGAAGTTATGAAAAGATATGCTACTTTGAAATTTGACACATATAGTGGAAAATAGTATGATATCCCTTGTAACTTTAGAGCCATTCATTTTTGGAGTGACATTTACATTCACTCAATAAAAACAATTTCATTCAACTTTATTTCTTGAATAGTTTCATTATTTTTATTTTGATCAATGTTGATATGATAAATGGTTGCTTGATTTTGAATTATTTGCATGGGGAAGTGTGTTACTAAAAACTCTAGAGACATAATTTTATGTCATCTTTGTTACTCTTTGAGCCTTAGCCTTATTTCTTACAATTTTATTATCCTTAAAAGTCATGATTGAGCTTTTTTGATGAAATTCGTTTGCTAACCCATATACAATAACCAAGCCTAGTATGATACAATATCCTTACCTTTAGTTATCATGAGATTGAGTGGTATTGTGACTGTGTAAGGGACTATGTAGGTGAGACTTGTTGAAAAAGAAAGACGAATCTTTGATACACTTATGT